AATGCAGGAAACACAGGTTCTATCCCTGATCAAGGAAGAGCCCACATGGTGTAGAGCAACTAAGCCCGCGCTCCACAGTTACTGAGCCCGCGCTCCACAGGTACTGACTGAGCCCGCGCTCCACAGTTACTGACTGCGCCCGCGCTCCACAGTTACTGACTGCGCCCGCGCTCCACAGTTACTGACTGAGCCCGCGCTCCACAGTTACTGACTGCGCCCGCGCTCCACAGTTACTGACTGCGCCCGCGCTCCACAGTTACTGACTGCGCCCGCGCTCCACAGTTACTGACTGACCCCGCGCTCCACAGTTACTGACTGCGCCCGCGCTCCACAGTTACTGACTGAGCCCGCGNACGGTCACTGACTGCGCCCGCGCTCCACGGTCACTGACTGCGCCCGCGCTCCACGGTCACTGACTGCGCCCGCGCTCCACGGTCACTGACTGCGCCCGCGCTCCACGGTCACTGACTGCGCCCGCGCTCCACGGTCACTGACTGCGCCCGCGCTCCACGGTCACTGACTGCGCCCGCGCTCCACGGTCACTGACTGCGCCCGCGCTCCACGGTTACTGACTGCGCCCGCGCTCCACAACAAGACAAGTCGCCTCAGTGAGAAGCCTGAGCACTGCAACTGGAGAGCAGCCCGTTCTCTGCAACTAGAGGAAAGCCGGTGCAGCAATGAAGACCCAGCACAGCCAAAAACAAATACAAATACATAAATAACTTTTTTCTAAAGAGGGTCTTCTGGCTGCCCAGATCCATCTCATCCGTGCCTAAGGAGGCCTACTCTCCGCTCTGCATCATGTGTGTGAACTCTTGCATCTGATCATTGGGCTCACAGGGCAATATCTGATACCTTTGGGTAGATTGATTCTTTGAAGGCAGTAGTTGTTTCTCCTGCCAGTCCCCAAGAGAAGAAATGGGTTCTAAGGCAGGAAAAAAGAAGCAGTTCTTTAGAAAGCCAGTCATGGGCACCAGAAGACTGCTGACCACCAGCACCTGCCCACCATAGGAGAGCAAGTCCAGCGCCAGGCAGAAACGGAGTCCACAGTCTCTAGGGATCACGCCATTTTCGGTAAGAAAGTTGTTCAGTTTCCTGTGGTTTTCACCTTTTTCCTGTCGTTTCTCCTCTAAGATTCATTACATTTTCATTCATTGTTCCAGTGCCCTCCGCTCTGTGTCAGGGAGTACTCAGTTTTGTTCGACAAACTTGATCGAGCACCATTTCTGGGGTGGGGACTGTGTCAAGCACCCATAGTATAAAGGTGAGTAAGATGTGGTCCTGGCTTCCCAGGGGGCTCAGTGGTAAAGAATATGCCTGCCAAGTAGAAGATGAGAGTTCGATCCCTGGGTTGGGAAGATCCCCTGGAGAAGGAAATGGCAACCCACTCCAGGATTCTTGCCTGGAAAAAAAATCCAACGGGCCGAGGAGCCTGGTGGGCTACAGGCCATGGGGTCGGGAAGAGGTGGATACAACTAAGCTCACACAGAAGACATGGTCCTGCCGTGAGGGGGTCTCCAGTAGACGTAAAATAAACTTCTGGGGTGACGCAGTGGACGATGTGGGATCATGTGGGAGGCAAAAAAGAAAAGGAAAAAACAGGAAGCTGAAGGGAGCACGCTGAGATGAAACCACAATGGTCTGCAGTAACAGGCCTCAGCACACCTGCCCCATTCCCCAAGTGTGTGGTACAGTCTCGGAGTAGACGTCTGTCGTTAATACCCCCAATGTGGTAAAGCAATTATACTCCAATAAAAAAATACCCTCAGTCAACAAATGAGTAAAGAGTGGAAAGTGGGGGGTTAAACTAGGAGGTTGGGATTAACATACACACACTACTATATACAAAATGGAGAACCGACGAGGACCTCCGGCAAAGCACAGGTACTCTGCTCGGGTTCTGGGGCAGCCAGGACGCGAGGGGACTTCGGGGGGCATGGACACGTGTGTGCGTGTGGCTGAGTCCCTCCACTGTCCACCTGAAACCATCACAACACTGTTAACTGGTTATACTCCCATAGAAAATAAAAGGTAAAACAATGAAACAGATGAGCAGCAAGGCCTCCTATAGAGCACAGGGAACTCTGTGGAATACTCTGCCCTGGCCTACATGGGGGAACAATCTGAAAAAGGGTGGCTATATGCATATGTGTGGCTGATTCACGTTGATGTACGCCTGAAATGAACACAACATTGTAAATCAACTGTACAATTTAAAACAAGGTCTTCCTTAAAAAATGAGTAAAGAGGACAAATAATAAGCTGAAGTTCTTAGAGGCCCTACGAGGTAGCACCCAGGACTGGGACCTGGGCAGCCCAGCCTCTGACCTCACACCTCACCCCCCTGACGTGCTGGGGCGCCCCCACCCGGCACACCTGGGTCCTGTGCCCACCTCGGACGACTGAGCGCTAGCTGGTTTCCACAGGAAAATCATCATATTAAAACTGCAACAAAGAAAACTGGGTGTTGGGCAAGCAAACCCAACAGCCGTTCATGGGAGGATCACTTCAGAAATGCAGGTTTTCCTCTCTCTCCCCCTCCGCTTCTCTGATTGTCTGCCATCCTCCACAGACGGTATCTGGTGTGTCAGAGCCGAAGCTCCTTCAGTGGCTTTTGATAACAGTATGCCAAGGAGTCTTTCAACAAGACTGCGTATTTACATTCCGTTTGCCCAGAATGAACTAATTTCACCACGCCTTTGTTTGTGTTGGATGCTGTGAAGTTTTTTAAACCTAGCCGATTCTACTTTTCCTAGGGTCTGTATTTGTATAGTTTCCGTTCTCTTCTTGGACCAGAAAATCCAAGTAAGAGGGTGCTAACAGGAGCCTCTGAACCCAGGCGAACCAGTGGGCCCGCGGGGAAGAGAAGGAAGGTGTGTCTGTCAGCCCCGCAGACCCAGGGCGCCGGAGGGACACAGGATCCAGCGGCCAAGCCGGGCTTCAGGCTCAAGTTACTTCAAGGGTGAGACCGCTTTAAAGAAACAGAAGTTGAGTATTTGTGTGAGCGCACGGGCGCCAGATTTCCTGTCGATAAACCACCTATGGCCGCGCTGTGAGAAACGGGGCCCTGTCGCGTTCCCGCAGCTCCACATTTAATATCGTGATGAGGGCAATTCCTGACTCTGCATGCAGCGCCGCCAAGCGCGCACAGGTGCCAAAGGGCAGGGAAAAGCCCCAACGCACAGCCCGGCGCCGCGTTCGCTTCCCGCCATCCGCCGCGCCCGGACCACAGAGACGCGGGTACCGCCCCAGCCCTAGAGAGGAAGGGCAGGCTCCGCCGGCAGGCTTCCGGCGGCGGGCACTTCCGGCTCGGTCCCTCCCTGCGCCCGCCGAAGCTTGGGCGGGGCGCGCTAGTAAGGGAGTGTGGGTGGGACCCCCAACTCCCGGGGCCCTTCCCGAGGGCCTGGCGCGGGGTCGGCCCCTCGACCCCCAGCGCTGTGGACTTGTCTCCTCGTTTCAACCCCTCGAGGCGACTGGTTCGTGGACAAGAAGGGTGAAAACCGGCCCTAAAAGGACGCAAGCTAGGGCTCGTCGTGCTGTGTCAGCCCGGCCGCGCGTGTAAAACGCATCAAGTAACTGACACACGCGTGCAGGTGTGGGGAGAAGGCCCTGCCGGCAGCCCGGAAAGGGCCCCCGGCGCGGGCCGGGCTCAGAACCGAGCCCCCGCCCGGAAGTGGGCCTGGCCGGGAGACCCCTTCGGAACCCGGCTGCTTCCTCCGAGTAGCGGCTGACCGCCCGGGCTGAGTGCCCTCAGAGCCCTCAGCTGTGAGGAGCGTGGGAGTGGCCATCCTGGCCTCCTGTGTGTGGTCTCCTGCAGTGTATCGTTCCTGCCCTCCTGTGAGACCCTGTCATCCTGTGACCCTGTCCTGTGTGTGACCCTGTCCTCCTGTATGCGATCCTGTCCTACTGTGTGACCCTGGCCTCCTGTGAGACCCTGGCCTCCTGTATGCGATCCTGTCCTCCTGTGAGACCCTGTCATCCTGTGAGACCCTGGCCTCCTGTATGCTATCCTGTCCTCCTGTGAGACCCTGTCATCCTGTGAGACCCTGGCCTCCTGTATGCTATCCTGTCCTCCTGTGAGACCCTGTCATCCTGTGACCCTGGCCTCCTGTGTGACCCTGGCCTGCTGCATGTGACTACTGTGGCATGCATTCTTCAGTGAACCAGATTTACCTTCTCTGACACTGTAAGACTGCACTGGGGAATATTTCACATAAAGAAGCTTTCACACAGTGTGTTCTTGAGGAGACAATAAAAGACGGACAAGTAAGTTTGGGATCTGAACTCCAGTCTCTTACCACAGTTACTGATAGAATGTTAAACTGTTCTGAGAAGCTCTGCAATAATGGAGCTCACCTGACTTTGTTTAGCCTGGTGGTTTTCAAGCATTTGACCTCAGAGACTTTTGGGTAACACCCTGTTGATAGCCACCCCTCTCCCCACCAGCAACTGCGGTTTTTTCCCAGAACACACTTGGGAGACGCTGACATAAATCATTCACCTGAGCACAGACCTGTGCAAGAGTCACTCTCACTTCTCAAATGACATTTCGGAACTCCTGTTTTGAAAATCATCTGACTGGATTTCCGTAAGGATGGTTTCAGTTTTACAGATGTTTGAGAAATCAGTCCATAAATAATGAAGTACTACAAGCCATTAACATTTGGAAAAGGAAGTGAACCCTCCTTGCTCTTCCTCCTACATATATCATGAATAGATAGGGTCTCAATATCATTGAGCCAGTGTTATCAATGTATTATTTATAAAACATAGAAACAATTACATGGAAAAAATACAAATTGTTCCAAGTGGAAATTCAACAATTCAAGGCTTCTTAGTGACAAACCTAGGAAATTTGTTCAAGGACCTACTTTAGTAAAACATGATTACCATTTCCTCCGATAAATAGAAGGTTGCTAAGAAACACTCAAGAATGTTGTATGTGTGCATGAAGTAACCTTCACTGGAAACTTGCCCTAACATTATGGAATAAAATTCAGTACAAGGAACGTCTTCAGCTTTATTCACAATGACGTAGTTACTGAAGTAACAACAGAATCTCTTAATGAGGCAGTTTTGGCCCAAACCTCTATCAAGGGGAGCTTTGACGTGATTTACTGTTAATAGTATGTTACTAAACTTGTAGTTTCAAGGAAGACCTGTCAAAGGACAAGTAACAAGACATTAGAGTGTCCTTGTCCCAGTGTCTGCTCCTCCATCCTGTAGGGCCAGAAACCTACACAGTTCCCACAGAGGTAGCCGGGCTCCAGAGGATGCACCAATGCCAACCAAACTCTAAAGGAACCACTTAAATGGTTCCTTTTTAAAAAGTTCTAGTCAGTGACTTCCCAAGTGATCCAGTGGCTAAGACTGCATTCCCAGTGCAGGGGCCTGGGTTCCATTCCTGGTCAGAGAGCTAGATCCCACATGCCTCCACTGAAGAGTTCCTATGCACAGCTAGAGAATTCTGCATGCCACAACTAAGACCTGGAAATAAATAAAAAATATAAGTTATCAATCCGAAGTGAAAAAAAAATTATGATTGACACCTGGGATCTCAGAGCGATCTTGATCTCCTTTTCTTAAGCAGAAACTATCCACCACCAACAGAAGACCTACCTAGACTTTAAAGCGCTCCACAGAGGCTGTTGCTGTGGCCTTTCTCCGGCCCCCCATCATCTTTGTGCTCTGTGTGCATCCCTCCTGAAGATCCCTTCTGCAACACACAGACACGTAGACACACAGAGATGACCAGACTGCACTTCCCAGCTGTAACAGAGGTCACCACTGGCCTGTCTGACCCCTCGGGCAGGCCTGGCACTACAGCTCTCAAATTCTGGCTCACTGAGGTGTGACTGCAAATGTTTCAAGGAATCCAGACAGTCACCAAAAGTATCAGAAGGGATGGCATCGTCAGTATCCCACTCACCCCCCACTGCTCACAGTGCTTCTCACAGTAGGTGGCTGGCACTCTCCACGGAGATCTCAGCCAGGGGGAGCTCCCATCAACCAGAGAGGGCTACCTGCAGACAAGACGCATCACCTGGGTCTTCATTCTGCCTCTCCTGGGCCCAGCAGAGCCGATGCAGCATCCTTCCCTCTCACATTCAAGGCGGCCTCCTCCACGGTCCTCCCCCACTCCTGGAGTAGAATCTGAAGCCCCTTCCCACCAGACACTGTATTATGTTCCTACCGTTGTAGGGAGACTGTTGTGTCACACTGACAGTTCTCCCAGTGTTGGTCCTCACTCTCCTCAGCCTCCTTACCTGTAAGATGGGGACAGTAGTCAAACCTATCTTTATAGTGTCTGTTGGGCAGTCTGATGCGCGGAAGTGGCCGTAGGGGCTGGGTGCCCGATCCAGGGAAAGAAATGAGTGCAATGTCAGGTGCATTCCTGTGCAGGTTCCCCCCGTGGGTCACTGGAGTCACTGGAAGCTTCTCGGAGCAAGCGTGGCATGTAGACACACCCTCAGGACAGTCGGGCCCGCGTAGTCCAACATGGACCAAGAGGCGGCGTGGAAGCTTAGATAATGCGGTTACTAAGACCACAAGGGCGGCCCCCCACCCCACGAGGGCCGCCCCCAGCCCTGCCCACGTCCCCGCCGCCACTTCCCCGAGGTGGTCCCCGCGCTCCTCCTGGCCCCGGGGGATGACACCGCGCTCACCTTCCGCAGAAACGCCATCCTCGGCCTGTACTGCTGGCCTTGGTGTCGGATGGTCATCCTGGCCCCTGGGACTCAGAACCGGGACGCACGGGACGGAAGGGGAAGCCCCCGGAGAGCGCGCCCGCCGCCCGGAGCCCGGGCGGAGCGAGGCTGCCCGCCGCGCCCCCGGCCCGCACCCATGGGAGCCCGAATCCGCGCCGGCCAATCAGGGTGTCGCGCCAGCGCGGGCGAGCGCTGCACTGGCGCCCACCTGGCGCCAGGGGGCGGTGTCGGGCCGGCGGGCCGGNACAGTTCAAAGGCATCAGTTCTTCGGCACTCAAACTTTTCTATGGTTCAACTCTCACATCCATACATGACTACTAGAAAAACCGTAGCTTTGACTAGATGGACCTTTGTTGGCAAAGTAATGACTCTGTTTTTAATACATTGTCTTGGTTTGTCATAGCTTTTCTTCCAAGGAGCAAGCGTCTTTTAATTTCATGGCTGCAGTCACCAGCCACAGTGACTTTGGAGCCCAAGAAAATTAAATCTGACACTGTTTCCATTGTTTTGCCATCTATTTGCCATGAAGTGATGGAACCAGATGCCATGATCTTCATTTTTTGAATGCTGAGTTTTAAGCCAGATTTTTCACTCTCCTCTTTCACCTACGTCAAGAGACTCTTTAGTTCCTCTTCACTCTCTGCCATAAGGGTGGTGTCATCTGCATATCTGAGGTTGTTGATATTTTTCCTGGCAATCTTAATTCCAGTTTCTGCTTCATCCAGCCCAGCATTTCATGTGATGTACTCTGCATAGAAGTTAAATAAGCAGAGTGACAACATACAACCTTGATGTACTCCTTTCCCAATTTTGAACCAGCCCATCCTTCCATGTCCGGTTCTAACTGTTGCCTCTGGACCTGCAAACTGGTTTCTCAGGAGGCAGGTCAGGTGGTTTGATACTCCCATCTCTTCAAGAATTTCCCACAGTTTGATCCACACAAAGGCTTTGGCATAGTCAATGAAGCAGAAAGAGATGTTTTCCTGGAATTCCCTTGCTGTTTCTATGATCCAGTAGATGTTGGCAATTTGATCTCTGGTTCTGCCTTTTCTAAATCCAGGTTGTTTATCTGGAAGTTCTCAGTTCATGTACTGTTGAAGCCTAGCTTGAAGAATTTTTGAGCATCTTTGCTAGGATGTGAAATGAGCACAATTGTGCAGTAGTTTGAATTCTTTGGCATTGCCTTTCTTTGGGATTGGAATGAAAACTGACCTTTTTCAGTCCTGTGGCCACTGCTGAGTTCTCCAAATTTGCTGGCGTATTGTGTACAACACTTTTACAACATTATCTTTTAGGATTTGAAATAGCTCAGCTGGAATTCTATCACCTCCACTAGCTTTGTTTGCAGTGATGCTTCCTAAGGCCCACCTGACTTCACACTCCAGGATGTCTGGCTCTAGGTGAGTGACCACACCATCGTGGTTATCCCAGGTCACACTACTATATATAAATAAAATAGATGATCAACAAGGACCTACTGTATATAGCACAGAATATTAATGAGGGCTTCCCAGGTGGTGCAAGAGCAAAAAAATCTGCCTGCCAATGCAGGAGACACAAAAGACTCAAGTTTGATCCCTGGGTCAGGAAAATCCCCAGAGCAGGAAAGGGCAACCCATTCCAATATTGTTGCCTGAAAAACTCCTTGGACAGAGGAGCCTGGCTGGCTACAGTTCATGGGGTTGCAAAGAGAGGCTGTACTCAATAACCTATAATAACCCAAATGGGAAATAATCTGAAAAAGAATGGACATATATATTTATATGTAGAACTGAATCACTTCGCTGCATACCTGAAACTAACACAGCAGTGTAAATCAACTATACTCCAATATAAAATGTTAAAATGTTTTGAAAATACTTAGAACCGTGACTGACAAATGGTGAATGTCGGATAAACCACAGTTCTCATGTGTTTCGGGGGACTGTTAAAAATTACCGTCGCTGGTGGCTCCATTACACCCGTCGTCTGAGTCCTGTGTCTTCCCAGAATAATGTGAGAACTCTTGGACTAGTCAGTGGAGGTGAGAGAATAGGATCAGAAGTCAGATTATGTGGGATCACATCTCCACACTGCTACTTACTAACCAGCGAACGGTGTGACTCTGGGCAAGTTACTTAACCCCTCTGTGAAATGGGAATGGCACAATGACTGCCTACGTGATAGACAGGACGCAAATCAATAGATGCCAGTTGTGACTGTTATTAATATCAGTGTCATTGCTGACAGTATAATAGAAAGAGCACAAAGTGAATGAAAATAGTCTCATCTTGACAGCCACTTCTCTCCCCCTGTCGTCAATTTCTTCATCTGTAAAGGAGTGACTCGAGCTCCCTCCCAGTCTCCGACAGGGCGAGCCCTCCCAGGTCTAGCAGCAGCGTTCTGTGAAAAACGGGGACCTGCCTAGAGCTGGGCAGCCAAGGGCAGCGGGTGACACCGTGGCAGAGAGGGGACGTGGGCAGCTGCTGTCAGAGGCGCAGACAACAAACAGGTCACCAGATAATCAGGTTCCCATCCCAGCGGAAGAGCTGAGTTCCTGCCAAGCTGCTCTGACATCTCAGCTCCGGGCTGAAGTGCTAGAATAGCCCAGCTCCAAGGGCTGGTTGACTCATCGGGAAATGACTTGGCCGAAAGCCAGCAGATGTGACGTCAGCCCGGCCAGGCGGCCGGGAAAGCCCCGCTTCAGCTTCAGCCGGGCTCCCAGACTCACAGGGATGGGGAGAGCAGAATGATCTCAGAATCCCATAACTGGCGAACCTGTCTCCCCACTCTTTTATTTGTTGACTTGGGCTTTCTGTTTTCTCGGTTAGGTTAGATGGTGACTTGTCTATTATGAGATTGTGTGTGTGTATAGTTTCCTTGAGAATCAGATTTTATTGAAAAGATAGAACGTTAAGATCATCTGGTCACTGGATATTTCTGCTGTTTAAATTACTTAACATCTGTGAGGGGCTCTGTCAACTAGGAGAGGACTTCAGGTGTGTAGAGTGACCGCCTGTGTCCCTTTCTGTCGCCCGTTGTCCTGGAGAGGCTCGTGGTGTCCTCTGGCACTTCTGTAAGGTGACTTTGCTCAGATGATAAATCGAATGGCCACCCTCATCACCCCACAGTTGACTGCTCCAACAAGGATCTCATCAAGTGTCCTCATTTCCCAGATGAAGGGGACGAGCTAGGGTGCGAAGAAGGAACGTAATCAGGACTCAGGACACCTGGATGCTGATTCCAAATCTACCACTGACCCACTGGGGACGTCATGCAAGACTCATCACCTCGGGGAATCCCAGTCCCCGGTCAGAGTTGTTCAGCGTTCCCCAGAGTCTGCTCTTCAACCTTCTCAAACTTTAATGTACAGAGCAGTCCCCCAGGGATCTTGTAAAAATGCAGATTCTGGCTCAACAGGTTGGGGTGAGACTGTGTGCTAACCACTAGACCAGCAGGGAACTCCTTCCTTGTCTTGATTTCTAATTTATAGTTTACCATTTTATATTAAGGCTTCCCTGGTGGCTCAGATGGTAAAAAAAAAAAAAAATCCGGCTGCAATGCAGGAGACCTGAATTGGATTGCTGGTTTGGGAGGATCCCCTGGAGGAGGGCATGGCAACCCACTCCAGTATTCTTGCCTGGAGAATCCCCATGGACGGAGGAGCCTGGCGGGCTACAGTCCACGGGGTCGAAAAGAGTCGGACACAGTGAACAACTAAGCACACACACACATTTTATAGTACGCACCTCCTGTCTACCGCGCTCACCCAACTGTGAAGAGAGGCATAAAGTGAAAGTGAAAGTAGCTCAGTCGTGTCTGACTCTTTGCAACTGACCCCATGAACTGTAGCCTTCCAGGCTCCTCTGTCCATGGAATTCTCCAGGCCAGAACACTGGGGTGGGTAGCCTTTCCCTTTTCCAGGGGATCTTCCCAACCCAGAGATCAAACCCAGAGATCTCCGCATTGCAGGAGGGTTGTTTACCATCTGAGCCGCCAGGGAAGCCCGGAAAGAGGCAGGGTATAAATGAATCAAGAATGGATGAGTACTGGATTAAGTGGACTCGCGTCCAAATGACCACATTCCCGGCTCCTCCTTAGTCCCCAGTTGTATGTCACAGGATTCACCTAATGGCATCCTACTAAAAATCATAATGACCTGGCTGATGACACTGACGACATAGTATTTACATTTTCAAAGATGCCAAATAAAATAATGGCCAATACATTATGAAATAACATTTGCCTCCAAAAATTCTTGCCAGTCTGAGCTTCCACCGGTGTGCTTTCAAATGCCCACATTCAATCGGCATCTCCGGGCAAATCTACAGTGTGAGGGTTTCCAGCGGTTACCAGAAGTCATTACAGGAACAAGTCATGTGAATTTCTTTTCGAAAAAAATCTGACTTGACCCCAAACTACTGTCAAGATAGTGTCTATTCTGTCTAACAAACACCACAAAAGAAATTTCTTTCCAAGTTTAGTTCCCTGAAGACAGAAATCACAATGTATCCTTTTCCGTGATTAAAAAGAGATATGCACCCAGGCATTTCCTACCCTGAGCCGTAGAACAAATCTGGCATCAGGCTCTCTTGCAAGAACTGGAATGAATGTTCAATTTTTCGCTTTTTTCCTCCAATCTGTCTTCCTATTTGAATTCATGTACGATTGGTTTCATTCTCTGGGTTTTGGTCTTTTGGTCAGCCACAACTCCTTTTTAGAATGACTTGGGATAGAAATAAACTGTATTTGAGTAGCGAATGGGAGTTGACTTGATGAATTGGACACGGTGCGGGGAGAAAGGAAAAACTGAGCAGTCAAAATGGTCTTCAAGATAAATGACTATATTCGTCCAATTGTTTGTTGAACCTACATCGTTTTATTTTAGTCCAAGATGCATGAGAGAAGGAGAACAGTGTGGTGAAAATATATTGCAGTTTGATGAAAACTTGCTTTCCTTGCAAGACAATTGATTAGATCACGCCTGTCTATCTAAACCGATCAGCTCAGCTCAGAAGTAACAGGACGTCTTGTTTCTCAACCCGAGCTGCACCTCCAGGTAATGTGGGTGAGTGAGTGCTTCCAGGTGAGGTGGGTGAGTGAGTGGGTCAG